ATGTGAACATGGACAGCCCCTGGTATTATCTGGGCTGCCAGACAAAGGCAAATACAACCTCCCACAGAGGACACTTGGGAGCCCTGGACAGGGAGCGGGCGTCTGGCTTCTGGTGTGGCTCCGCCACTAGCTCTGTGTGGCCTTGACCAAGGTCAGCCCCCCTCTCAGCTTTTTAAAACATTTATTTTAAAATTATTTATTATTTTTTATAGAGACAGGGTCTCACTCTGTTGCCCAGGCTGATCTCGAACTCCTGGACTCAAGCCAGCCTTCTACCTCAACCTCATAAAGTGATGGAATTACAGGCAGGAGCTTCTGTGCCCAGCCCTCTTTTACTTGAAAAAAAAAGAAAAAAAGGAGGGGGGTATTGGACTGCCTTGCTTGCTTTTAAGGACTCTTCTGGCTCCCATGTTCTGTGACTGCCCAGCGAGCTTTGCACCTCTAGCCTTCCCTGGTCCCAGTCAGTGCTGGGAACAGCCCCTCAGAATTGCAGCCACCTTCAGGGAAACGTTTGTAACTATTTAAATGCTGAAATAAAAGAAAAGAAAGACTGGAGCGGTGGCTCATGCCTGTAATCCCAGCACTCTGAGAGACTGAGACGGGCAGATCACCTGAGTTCGAGACCAGTCTGACGGACTGGTGAAACCCCGTCTCTACTACAAATACAAAAATTAGCTGAGTGTGGTGGCACATGCCTGTAATTCCAGCTACTTGGGAGGCTGAGGCAGGAGAATCGTTTGAACCCGGGAGGTGGAGGGTACAGTGAGCTGGGATTATGCCACTGCCTTCCAGCCTGGGCAACAAGAGAGAGATTCTGTCTCAAAAAAAAACAAAAAAACCCCTGCTGACTGATCTATTATGAGAAAAAGTTCAGTTTAAATCACATTAACCCATTTATTCATTAATTCATTTATTCAAAAATATTTATTTAGGGTTTACTATGAGCCAGATTCTGCCAGGTACTCAACATTTATGCTCAGGTCATGGATCCTGGCTGCCAGGACCTTCCTCACACAGATGTGCCCAGTCCACCACTTCTTTAAGTCAGGGACAGCATTTTCCCACCATTTAGAGCTTCTATTTTGTAATCAGTTCATGTGAAACTGTTTTAAATGCCCTCAGAACAAAACAAAAATTTATGGTTGTCTCTGAAATCAGTCTAAGAAACAGAACAAGGAAAATAAAACCTTTGGCCTAATTTTTCGCCAGGTGGAAACCAGAGCTTCCAAATTCTCGAGGTAGCCCAGCTCCACAGAAAGGGCCAAGGCCAGAGCCAGGAGGCCTGGTTTCCAGGACAAACTCTGACCCTGACCTGCTGTTGACCTGGGGCCGATCTCCCAAGCCCCATCCTCACTCCCACCACAGTTTGATTTCTTCACTGATGAGAAAAGGACAGGGATGAAAGTGTCTGCAGGGCCATTTCCACCCTTATGTATTCTGTGACCCTAGAAAGATTTTGTCAGGAGAGGGAAAAGCTGGAGGTGGCTTTAGGAAAACCAAGTGGAACTAGTGGAGATACGGCTGGGGTGGAAAAGGCAGTGACCCAGAAGTCAACATACCTTAGCTCTGCATAGCTTAGTTAGAGGGACCAGCCCAAGGCAAAGGGCGAGTCAGCGCCTTCCTGTGGTTCAGTTCCATTGGCTGACAAATCTCACTTCAGAGGTCCTGGGGCTGCTTGAACGTCCAGTAATCTTCTTCGGCAGGTTGGTCTCTGCAGTGCCTGGTCTCTCATGACACTGACTCTGAGACTTCAGTTCCCTGTAGAACCCTCTGAACTGAGTCCAAGGAAGGAAGTTTGGGTAGCAGGCATGATATGGCTGACAGAAACCTGCTGAGCTGCCCCAGCGAGAGGAGGGACTCACAGGGGGACATGGGAAGTACCCTAGGGTCTGCTTTTCCTTTTCTTTTTTCCTTTCTTTCTCTTTCTTTTCTTTCGTTCTCTCTTTTTCTCTCTCCTTCCTTCCTTCCTTCCTTTCTTCCTTCCTTCCTTCCTTCCTCTTTGAGACAGAGTTTTGCTCTGTCACCCAGGCTGGAGTGCACTGGCACGACCTTAGCTCACTGCAACCTCCAACTCCCAGATTCAAGCAATTCTCTTACCTCAGCCCCCACTTATAATCAGCTGGGATTATAGGCATGTGCCACCATGCCTGGCTAATTTTTATATTTTTAGTAGAGACGGGGTTTCACCATGCTGATCAGGCTGGTCTCGAACTCTTGACCTTGTGATCCACCTTCCTTGGTCTCCCAAAGTGCTGGGATTCCAGGCCTGAGCCACCCCTCCCCCACTCCCGGCCCAGATCTGTTTTTTAATGGGGATAGAATTCATTTTCAACTTGGGTTCCATTCAGGAAATAACTCCTTCTAACAAAAGCATGTACAGTGTCTCTGCCCTCTTAGAGTGACCAACAGAGGGGTTTCCCAGGACATGGGACTTTCAGTGCTAAAACCAGTTCTGGGCAAATCAATATGGTTGGTCACTGTCTGATATGACAAAGAGAAAGAATACAAAGACAGATCCCAGGGCATCCACCCAGGTTAGATGGAGACAGGCAGAGCAAGCCCCTGCACAGGCACACAGAAAGGAAGAGATTTTTGGGGTAAGCAGACAGCATTTTGTAGTGCTTCTTGGAGGAAGCAATTAAAGAGAAAGATATCACAGGAAAGGAATTCTCACATGAATGGAGAAACTAAATGGGAGAGACTAAAACAAAGGGCACTGATTCAGACGTAACATTCCCCGAAGATGCAGTGAGATGAGACTGGGGCGGAGCATAGAAGAGGAATGGAATCCAGAGCACCACAGAAGTCACTCTTCCAGCTGTCCCCAAAGAAGTTTTCCCAGCAGTTCTCTAGAGCTCATGAGCTAGGAGGAGTCTTTATTAGTGGCCCTTGACAATCCTCCAGGCTCAGAGGAACACACTTAACATCAAGGGAACCTTAGAATAAACCACATAGTTTTCACTCCGGCGTTTAGCTTCACTCACTCTCAATGAGTGATTCTGCTGTCTTCACAAGGTCCCGAAACAAACAACCCCTCAGGAATCGTGCCGGCATGTCTGGACCAGATGGGCTTATATCAAATGACTACAGTCAGGATCCTGGTGCTTAGAGTGGGCAAAGCCTGGTAAGTGGCTCATCAGCATTACCATACCAAGAAGATTCCTTCATCTGTGCTAGTGGGAACTGGCCTAAAAACCAGACATACTTAAAGGAACTACTTGAACTAATAAAAGAGCTACTTGATTTTTTAATTGGCATTTGAACACAAGTAGATGCCTTTCAGGCTTTTTCTCTCCGATAGATTAAATTTGCCCACCAACATTGCAACCTTATTTTTTAATTTTTGTAAGATAAGTTCTTGCTCTGCTGCCAGCTTGGAGTGCAGTGGCATGATCATGGCTCACTGCAGCCTCAAACTCCTATGCTCACCTTAGCATCTGGAGTAGTTAGGATTACAGGTGTACGTCACAATGCCCGACTGACTTTTTTGACTTTTTGTAGAAATGGGGTCTTACTATGTTGCCCAGGCTGGTCTCAAACTCCTGGCCTCAAGCAATCCTCTGGCCTTAGCCTCCAAGAGTCTTGGGATTACAGGTGTAAGCCACTGTGCCTGGCTGCAATCTTATGTGGTTCATTTATGTGGTTATTATTATTATTATAACCAATGAATCTAGGGTTAGAAGGTTACTTAAAGGTTTTGATCTAGCTGCTATCCAAGTATTAAATCTCTGCAGCATTTCAGACAAAGACCTCAGCCTTGCAACCTCTAGATACATGAAATTCACTAATTATCAAGCCTGTTTTTGCATTATGGAGTCAGTTTTTTGCTTTTTGTTTTGTTTATAGGTTTGTTTGTTTTTTGAGACAGAGTTTTGCTCTGTTGCCCAGGCTGAGTGCAGTGACCTGATTTCAGCTCACTGAAAACTCCACCTCTGGAGTTCGAGTGATTCTCCTGCCTCAGCCATGGTAGCTGGGGCTACAGGTATGTGCTACCATGCCCAGCTAATTTTTATATTTTTAGTAGAGACAGGGTTTAACCATGTTGGTCAGGTTGGTCTCAAACTCCTGACCTCAGGTGATCTGCCTGCCTCGGCCTCCCAAAATCCTGGGATTACAGGCATGAGCCACCATGCCCAGACCTCATGATGGGGTCACTCTGATGTTAAGAAATTTATTTCCCATGTGGGACTGATCTCTGGGTCCCTGAAGCTGCTAACAGTGGCCCCAGTTCTTTGTAAATGTTGTTCCTTCTCTTTGACAGTCCTTAGGTGTTTGTGTCCACTTCTGCCCCCAAAACAGGACCAGCTCTTTCTGCCACTGCTGTTAGACATCTCACCATTCTGGGAATCTTAATTGTGCAATACAATTCCTGGAACAAAGAAAATGTTGGGACTGAGATCCATGGTTGGAAAGAAAAGAGATACTACATGTTCTAGTGAATGTTTCCCTGATTACTCTGGTTTCCAGATGTTCCCAGTGTGTGTCTACAGACATCCAGCTCTGACCCACTGTGGGGGCCACAGCCTATAACAGATCAGAGGACTCCTCGCCTGTCTTCTACCTGGTCAGCCTCCCCTCTCTGCCAGAGTCCCTATTTCTCTAACCCGCATCATCTTCGTGATTTTCTTTCTTCTTTTCTGTTTCTTTTTCTTTTTTTAGATAGGGTCTCGGTCTGTTGCCAAGGCTGGACTGCAGTGGCGCGATGTTGGCTCACTGCAAGCTCCACCTCCTGGGTTCAAGCAATCCTCCCACCCCAGCCTCCCAAGTAGCTGGGATTACAGGTGCCCACCACCACACCTGCTAATTTTTGTATTTTTAGTAGAGACAGGGATTTGCCATGTTGGCCAGGCTGGTTTTGAACTCCTGGCCTCAAATGATCTGCCTGCCTTGGCCTCCCAAAGTCCTGGGGTTATGAACATGAGCCACTGTGCCTCAACTTGATTTTCTTCTTAAACTACCTACTCATCCTGGTGAGTAATGCCCCGATCCTGGTGATTGTGATGGCAGAACCCAGCCTCCAAGAGCCCATGTACTTTTTCCTGATAAACCTCTCAGCCCTGGACATCCTCTCCACTACAGTCACCATCCCCCAAGATACTGTCCCTATTTTTGCTTGAGGACCGCTTCCTCAGCTTCCCTGCCTGCTTCCTATAGATGTACCTATTCCACAGCTTCTCCTGCTCGGAAGCCTTCATCCTGGTGGTCATGGCCTATGACCACTACGTGGCTATCTGCCACCCACTGCACTATCCTGTCCTCATTACCCCACAGACCAGTGCTGTCTTGGCAGCCAGTGCCTGGCTCATTGCGCCCTTCCTGCCCATTCCAGAAGTGGTACAGACCTCCCAGATGGCATTTGACAGCAATGCCCACATCTACAACTGCTTCTGTGACCACTTGGCTGTGGTCCAGGCCTCCTGCTCTGACACCAACCCCCAGACCTTCACGGGCTTCTGCATCGCCATGGTGGTGTACTTCCTCCCACTCCTCCTGGTGCTTTTCTCCTATGCCCACATCCTGGTCTCGGTGCTTCACATTAGCTCTTGAGAAGGACGCTCCAAAGCCTTCTCCACATGTGGCTCTCACCTCCTGGTGGTGGGCACCTACTACTCATCCATTGCCATAGCCTATGTGACCTACAGGGCTGACCTGCCCCTTGACTTCCACATCATGGGCAATGTGGTATATGCCATTCTCCTCCTCTTCTTCTTCTTCTTCTTATTCTCCTTCCTCTTCTTCTTCTCCTTCCTCCTCCTCCTCCTCCTCCTCCTCCTCTTCTTCTTCTTCTTCTTCTTCTTCTTCTTCTTCTTTCTTCTTCTTCTCCTCCTCCTCCTCGTCTTCTTCTTCTTCTTCTTTCTTCTTCTTCCCCTCCTCCTCCTCTTCCTTCTTCTTCTTACTCTTCTTCTTCTTCGTCTTCTTGTTTTAAACACCTCCTTTCTTCCCTGTATATGCCATGCCATTCTCACACCTATTCTCAACCATCTCATCTGCATGTTGAGGAACTGAGATGTCAAAGCAGCCATCACCAAGACTGCATGTCCCCTGAAGCCAGGGTGTTCTGGGGGTCCTGTATCCCTAGATCCAACTAATTCGGCTCCCAGGATAACAATGACAGCACTTAGCTCAGAAGAACAACTCAATAAATATTTTTAAATGAATTACAGCAATCTAATTTGGTTTCATTTAGTTGAGCAGACAGCTACAATCTGGTTCTCAAATACTGGATCAGAAAGTTTTCCCAATAGTTCTGTATAATTACAGACTTCACAATTTTCACCCATCATTAATGTAATGAGTAAAACTGTATCATTCAATCATTCATAAAAATATTTATTGGGTGTCAGAGACAGAAATGAACCAGACACAAATTGCTTTCCTGAAAATTTCTACAGTCTAATGTAGGAGTCAGACCCAGAGAAAAAAAAACATATGGTGATAGGACAAAGCAAAAGGGGTTGAAGGAGCTCAGAAGTTAGCATTTAATTCAATGTTAACATTTTCTCCTCTAAGTTCTTCTATTTTTGGCATTGAGTATTGCTTCTTTGTTAGCAAGTACTCATGTATCAGCAATACGGGCAGTGGAGGGTTGGGGACCTTGAAAAGATTGCATAAGCAAAGCACAAGCTGCTCCCAGGGAGTGGCAACACTGTCCATGTTCCTGCCTGGTTGAAAGGATTCACATTCAGCTTGGATGACCATCAAGATGGGATGCTTATGGCCAGGAGCAGTGGCTCACGCCCATAATGCCAGCACTTTGGGAGGCTGAGGCGGGTGGATCACTTGAGGTCAGGAGTTCGAGACTAGCCTGGCCAACATTGTGAAAACCCATCTCCAGTAAAAATACAAAAATTAGCTGGGTATGGTGGCAGGTGCATGTAATCCTAGCTACTCAGGAGGCTGAGACAGGAGAATCACTTGAACCTGAGAGGTGGAGGTTGCAATGAACTGAGATTGCACCACTGCACTCCAGCCTGGGCAACAACAGTGAAACTCTGTCTCAAAAAAGATAGGATGCTTCATGCCAAAGGATTTTCTTTTTTTTTTAGACAAAATCTCACTCTGTCACCCATTAGACGAAATCTCACTCTGTCACCCAGGCTGGTGCAGTAGTGCAATCTCGGCTCACTGCAACCTCTACCTCCTGGGTTCAAGCGATTCTCCTGCCTCAGCCTCCCGAGTAGCTGGGATTACAGTCACCCATCAGCATGCCTGGCTAATTTTTGTGTTTTTAGTAGAGACGGCATTTCACCGTGTTGGTCAGGCTGGTCCAGAACTCCTGATCCACCCACCTTGTGATCCGGCTGCCTCAGCCTTCCAAAGTGCTGGGATTACAGGCATGAGCCACCACACCTGGCCCCTCCCAAAGGATTTTAAATCTTAGTTCTCCTCAGAAATCACACAAGAATCAGAGTGAGATGGACAGAACTGCAGTGTATTCCAATGAGGCAGAAATGACCACCATTGCCAGGACACAGCACGCAGCAGGAAGCTGGCACTTTGCAGTGCATATTGTAGGGAAGTAAATCTTCGAGAAAGCCTCAGCACTTAACTGGACACTGAATAAGTGGATAAGAAAAGAGAATTTTTCACAAACCCCAATAATAAGGGTATTTATATGAGGAAATAACATCCTGCGGACCCATGAGCAACAAACCTATGACATCTGTAGAACCAGACTCTTGTGAGAGATGAGGAATACAGGCGAGTCTAAGATCAAAGACTGTTTTCCTAATTAGAGCCATGGATTCTTGGTAGTTCTTAGTCAGAGGAAATTGCAAATATTATTATTATTATTAGAGACAGGGTCTTACTTTATCACTCAGGCTTGAGTACAGGAGTGTGATTATAGCTCATTGTAACCTTGAAGTACTGGGCTCAAGTGACCTTCTCATCTCAGCATTCCACATAGTTGGGACCACAGGTATGCACCATCATGTCTGGCTATTTTTTTTTTTTTGTAGAGATGGGAGTCTCACTATGTTGTCCAGGCTGGTCTTGAACTCATTGTCTCAAGCCAACCTCCACCTTTGCCTCCCAAAGTGCTGAGATTACAGGTGCCTGGCTGTAAATTGCAATTAGTATTTCCTTTAGGTTTTGTGGCATAGTTTTATATTTATGTCAACAGTATAATAAACTACATATAATTCTCAGTTCAGAATATGGGTTCAATTATTCCCAAGCTAAACTTCAAATTAGCTTTTTAATGTACCAGTTAACGAATTAACCCAGGTATCACAGACAGATTTCTGCATTGTGTGGAAACCATCTGACTGTCACTCTTAATAGTTTGATGCCCATGGTAGGACAGACCAAATAACCAGTCTCTTCACTTCTCTCCAGAACACTCTCATAGCCTGAATTATATCTACTAGGATATACTATATAGCATATCAGTGGTGAAGATGAGGAATAAACAAATAGCAAATATATACTAATTGGAAAATGTGGAAAAGGCTGAGATGGGTGGATCACCTGAGCTCAGGAGTTTGAGAGGAGCCTGGGCACATGATGAAACCCCACCTCTATAAAAAATACAAAAATTAGCTGGGCACGGTAGCGCGTGCCTGTAGTCCCAGCTACTCGGGAGGCTGAGGTAGGAGAATTGCTTGAGTCCGGGAGGCGGAGGTTGCAGTGCGCCAAGATCATGCCACCACTCCAACCTGGGGAACAGAGTGAGAACCTGTCTCAAAAAAAAAAAAAAAAAGAAAGAAAGAAAGAAAAGAAAATATGGAAAGCCAATTAGGCTTAGTTAAACATTTTCGTCTTTCTTTCTTTTCTTTTCTTTTTTTTTTTTTTTTTTTTTTTTTTTTGGCAGTTTTGTTCTGTTGCCCAAGCTGGAAAGCAGTGGTGCAATCTCAAATCACTGCAACCTCTGCCTCCAGATTCAAGCAATCCTTCTGCCTCAGCTTCCCTAGTAGCTGGGATAACAGGTGCACACCATCACACCTGGCTAATTTTTGTATTTTTAGTAGAGACTAAAAATGAGCCACCATGCCCAGCCAAATTTTCCTTTTCAATTACATATGTGTTCTTGGTTGTAATTTTATATGGTCCCTGCACAATAAGATCCTGTACAAGGGAGCTAATGCCTCATGAGAATGACAGGGTGAAATGTTGGCATATCTGTTTCATAGGGAGCAGAATGGCTTTCACCCCCATCATCACTGGGATACATTTAAGAACCTTTTAGTTAGAATGAGGAGTCCCAGAATATCAGGGCTGGAAAAAAAGATCATCTGGTTTTACCCTTCCCATTTTACAATTATGAAAACTGAGGCTCATACAACTTGCCCAATGTCACACAAGAAGTCAATGCCAGAGCCAAGACTCCAGCACAGATCTCTTGTCCTATAAAACAGTAGTCCTTCCAGAATATTACAATGACTAGGAGTAAACTTGGGCAAAAGTGTCATCTTAGGTTTAACGACAGACTGTCTCAGACTTCAGAACTGTCTCTCTGTCTTGGTTGATAAGATTCCCAAACTTCCTTTGTCATATTCTTTACTATGATCAAGAAGTACTCATTGAAACCCCCTCAGAAGACTCGGCCATTAGGCATTTGTACACATCAGTTTCCCAATATGAAATACAACCAGTTGCAAGTTCAGCTGTTTCTCCCAAACCAGAAAGAATGGACTGGGGAACAAAATTGAACATTTGTTATGTATGCCCTGTCTGTGTAAGATCAAATCTGTCCCTATGTCAACAACGCTCCCAAGAAGAGATAATTTGAAATGTAAAACCCTTTATTTACCCAGATAGTGATATTGTCTCTCTTATCTTAGCAACAAGTACCTGAAATAATTCAGTTGATTCCTAAATAGCACTGAGAACAGCCAAAATAAAAAGAAAAACCCATTAGTCAACCAACAAGTTATTGCATCCCCCATATACAAGTACTGAATAGCTCAAAAAGAAATGGCCAGCCCTGAGGAAATGATTCTTCCTGATGTTTCTTCCATGTGGAGGAAATTCAATTCATGGAATGCTTTTGACCTTTTTCTATCCCATTGGCCACCATATTTAGGGACATTTAGGGTGACTTATCTAAAGTCTGCTTGGGAAGACTAATTTGAATATGCTTAGCATAACTTCTCTCTTCTCCCTCACCTCTGCCCTCACATGCTCCTCTGCTCCTCTATTTGGGCATTTCATAGAGGCTTTTTCTCATACAGGGATATTTGGGGTGGTTCTATAATGATTAGGGCTGCACAGGAATCTCTCTAATTTTGGAGTTTAGTTTCAAGAAATCCTCAACCTAGTGAAATTTACATGCCCTCTGATGATACTTTTGTTCAGATCCACAATTCACGAAGTGGGGAAAAGAGGTGTCAGTAATTGGGCACCCTCAATGACCCTCAACAGTTAACTTGACAACTAATCACTGAATATACTTGATTCCAAAACCACACAGCCTGTCTTATTTGAAGTATCAGCTGAAAATGAACGAGTCATCTTGGTCTTGGGTTACCAAACCTAGAAGTCAAGGCTTCACAGGGCTGAGATCATATGATGATTATACTACACATTAGGATTTTCAAGTAGTTACCATACTAGAAAAGGTCATAATTTGAACCTTCAAGTCCTTAAAACCACAATCTAAAAAGGCTAACATAGAATTTGCTTTGCCCATCTCTAGGTGTATAATTTGGTAAAGGGGAAGGTTGGGCCATCAGGAAGAATGCTGCTTTTTCAGAGCTTTTCTTGGCCCACAG